ATCCATCTACCCTTAGTCTGCAAAAACGCAGTGTTGGGGAAAGTTCCGGATAAAAATAGCTCTGAGGTTTTGTTTTTTCCAGAGTTGCATTAAATCATGGTTGTTTTTTTTTTTTTTTTTTCTTGGGATTCTGCCCCTCTGCTCTGCTAAGGTGAGACCTCACCTGCAGCACAGGAGGGGTGGGAGATGTTGAAGAGTTCAGAGGAAACACCAGGATCTTCAGAGGGATGGAGCAGCTCTGCTGGGAAAATTGGGAAKRTCCAGCCTGGAAAAGAGAAGGCACCAAGGCTCCATCCACCTGTAAAACACCTGGAATGAACAGGAATATTGTTATTCATCAATAACGGGAAAAGTCCCCAGAATAGCAATTTTGGAAGGTTCCAGAGCTGTTTGAGAAGCCAGGCCAGATTTGACAAATAGCTCCAGCCAAAATGGAGAAAATAATTAGAAAAACATTGAAACGTGKCATTTTTAGTTGTTGTTCTTATTTTTTTTTTAAACTGAAACGTTTTACTTCGGAAATGATGAAACATTTTAGTCCCAGCAGGATCTTGGAGCCTTTGTCCCAGCGAAACAGGAATGTTTATTGGGTTTGTCACCGACTGACTGAGTTAAATGTCAGGAGGAAATTTCAGTGTTGCTTTCTGGTGTAAAAATAAAAATTAAAAACGCACACCAGATTTTATCTGGTGGCACACAGGGCATTAGGAGAGGCCAGATAAAGGGTTGAAGGCAAGCACCTTTCCTGTGCAGATCCTCAACTCCCCTAATTCCCAACAGGCTGAGCTGTGAGGGATTAGCCAACCTGCACGGAAAGGGGACGGGGTGAGCTCAGGTRACAGCAGAGGCCACAAGAAAAGGATCCTTTTGGGATCCTCCCATGGAACGGCCCCAAACCARCCCTGGGAACGGCAGGGCTGAGGGTGGTGAAGGCCAGGAGGGACAAAAGCTGGTGAGAGATGTCCCCAGAGATCGCAGAATTGGGACCTTTCCCCCGCTCCCATGCCCAGGGCACCAGGAAAAGCCACATCCTGCCTGTTCCATCAGCAGAGCGGCCTCTGCCAGGGAATCCACCCCTCCCGTGACTGGGGCCTCTAATTTTAGGGTCTGATGAAAAGTCTTGGGGTCTCCTCCAAGCTTTCCTAACAAAGGGCTGAGCGGCACAGCCAAGAGCTCTGGGATCCCACAGCGTTCCCAGCACTCCCACGTGAGCCCAGATGTGCCGAGCCTTTCCCTGCTCCGTGGGGCTCCTCGCCCACACACCA